ATTTAGTATTGTATTCATTATAACATTGTACAAACATTTAAAAAATATATATAATTCACAAGTAATTGTGTTGCTCTTCGGGTCCTCAAAGTAGAAATGTAGAATGACAGCTAGTGTGTGTTTGGGAAAAAAAATGTCTGATTAATTTGTAACCAGAGCAGGAATAGCCCAGTTTTTAATTCCACTGGTGATTTTTCCCTTTAAGTTTTCACTATGATGCAGTTGTGCATGCTGTCCCCTTTAAGAGTTTGAGCATGCGCACAAGAGAGAGAGTGTGCCATCAGAGGGGAACAGAGAGAGCCCTTTGTCTAAGGGGACTCGGGTTCAAACCTTGACCCTACATACTGTATTGTCAAATAGCAAAATTGCACCTAAGATAATAATAATCACCTTGTATTTCTGTTGTATGGGGCATTCATGTTGCTCTCAACAAAAGTAAATAATGACCAGCAGAGCTTCACTAAATGCATCATTAAATTAGTACATATGACTCGTGCCTCCATGCAAATTCTCCTGCAGATATTTGATAGCATTGTGTAAGCAAAAATCTAATTAGTTTAATTTATTCACTGATGTTTTATATAGTGAGTTGTTTATATGGTTGTTTTCAGATTTTGTGCAGTGCTGTAGCTGTATTCATCACAGTGTCTATCTTGCACAATAATATACAGCAGTGTCTTCATTCTTCATATTATTCATCTGCAGATACATTTGTTTCTTGCTGTTGTCTCTGGAGATGGTGAAGCGTCCCTGAACAGACTGAGAGTAATATTTAGAAACACTGCCATCTGAGATGTATGCCAGCCACTCCAGACCTCCTCCTGCAGTCTGTCTGATCCAAGCTAAGTACGGGTCACTACTAAATCCAGAGAATGTACAGGTGAGTCTGTGAGATCCTCCAGGTTTAATGACCACTGACTCGGACTCAGTCAGCGTTTGACACCAACAGACTGAAAAACAAACAGTTAACATGAACATTTACAACAGTGCACATAAATAAATCTGAATATCAACAGGTTTTCAAGACAGTCTTACATTCTATGAGAGCAAACATGAAGATAAAACCCAGTTTAGGCACAATATCCATTGCCATGTTATGAAAAGAGCAAGCTGATGCATCAAAGTCACAAACAAGTTTTGTGTCTGGAGATGAATAGAGTGGAAGCTTTTTAAAGAGGACGAGGAGAAGTAGGTTTGCATAGGGTGCCCTCTAAAGGTTACATTTACATCTTCTGTGACCTTATTAAACACTGTAACCATGTCTGCCTTTCAAAGTACTTTTTGTTGTTTATATGTACTCGTTCAGAGACATAGTAGTGGCTGTAATCAGTGTTGGGGAGAACGCATTGTAACAAATTAAACTTACAGTGGGTACGGAAAGTATTCAGACCCCCTTAAATTT